TGCCAGCAGCGCTGGTGCTCTGCTGCTGTCGGCAGGTCCTTTTGCAGCAGTTCGGTGAGCTTTTGCTGCTGTGCTTCTTACCCTCCGCTTCAAAGGCCAGCGGGCTCCCGGGAGTCTCTCGGTGGTATCCTCCCACTTCTCAGTGCGCATTCTGTCATCCCAGTCGTAAACCTCCTCTGACGGCAACTGGTATTTGATCATGGCCACCTTACAATTCACAGAGTGCCTTTTGACGGTGACCGGGACCTTGGATTTCAAGGTCACTCTGACATTCTTGGCACAGCCAGGCTGGAGGTGTCCCACCTAGGGAGAACCAGAAAGTCAAGACCAAACTGGAAGCACTGGCAAGGGCAGCACTGACAGCAAAAGGGACTGATATGGCGAGCAGCTGTGCTGGGAATCAGCACCTCAGTGAGGATTTATGTGAGATTTGATAGAGCAAAATATGAACAGAAGGTGTTCCCTCCCAGAACGTGGAGCCTTTTCTGCTGGGCTGACAGCCCTGCCCCAGCAAAGACAGGGATTGCATCTCCTGCATGGCACTGGAACGGGCTCTCACTGGTATGTGGTGACTCCCTGCCAGCTCCCAGGAACACCAGGAAAGGGCCTGAGCAACCGGGAAAGGCAGGGCTGTCCCAGCTCACCTTGGGGGAGAACTGGAATGGGGCATCTGCCAGCAGCCACTCAAACCACATCACCTCCTCCTTGCTGCGGTTGGTGACTGTGAAGGTCTTGTCGAAGAGCTCCCTGACTGCACAATCGCTAAACTCAATGTGATTCACTCTCGCAGCTGTGAAGAAGGAGAGCAAGAGATCTCAGCATGCAGTGAGGTCCATCCACCCCCCTCACTTTAAGAGACACGTGTATGTTCAGCTCTTCCTTGCTCCAAGCCTCCCTCCCTCCCTCTGGGAGGTCCCCAAGCCCCTGGCTGTGCCTGTGCCCAGTGACAAGCAGCACAGCACACACTGCTCTGTGTGCACGGCTGGCAAGCTCACAGGCTCCCAGGTCCAGTGGGTGACAGCCCAGCCCTGGCTAGAGAGAGGACACACATGATCAGACATTTTCCTCTTCCTTGCTCTACCTTGGCAGCCTCTCCTCTCTTACCCTCAATGATGTCGTCCTCCAGATTGCCCTCAGCATTGCTCTTCTGGCTGTCTTCTGCTAGTCCAGGGAGGTTATCAAGGGTGAAGTCATCATTGTGGCCTTCACCCACCAGCTCTA